ACATAATTCCATTAGCTAGTAAATTAAAAACACCATACAAAGTTAAAAAAAAAAAAAACATTACAAACAAACAAAAGAAAAAAAAATCATTGAACAAAAAACACACGATAGTCCTAATAATTAAAAAAAAAAACACCGACAAACTATTCTTCACACAAGTATTTGCTCTCGATCTTTGCATTCATCATGCGTATCACTTCAGCTCGTCTCGGTGGCAAATTTTCTTCGTTTGTCGTAAAAATTGCCAAATATTTCGATATGCGATCTTCTTCGGCTTCTTGACGAAGGAAATCCAAATGCTCCCGTTTCAATTCATATCTTTTATTTGCGATTTTCGTGTGGACGTCGATTTTTTTTTCATTTCGTCGTGCTCTCGAAGCCAACTTTCATTCTCCTGTGCATGTCGTTGCGCGCTTCACTTTGTCGTGCCACATCGGTCGTCGCGGCGGAGATATTTCCTCGATGTCGTCAAACTCGTTCGGGATCTCATCGATGTTTACTTTGAGGTCGATGTTCGTGTGTCCATCGGAAAACGTCAACTGAACCCGAACCACGAGACCTCTTTGATTGTTACTCCGATGATGTTGGCATTTTTATCCATTTTGGATCTTTCCTCACTATCTCCTGTACTTTTTCGTACTCAAATACGTGACCCATTTGCACGTGATATTTCTCCCTCGCGGCTCTAAACACATCGAAATCATTGACACCACTGTGACGTTGCGAAGAAAGTTTGTTGTATATAAATTTGAATTTGGTGCACTTCTGGCTAATTTGAGTCCATTTGTCACTAAGCATATCATTATTGCGATATGTGTCACCCTTGTTCAAAACTGTGCGGAATTTGACAATTACGACATCCAAAAAAGCAACTCTCTTCATATCTTTCCCCAAAGTTGGTTGTTTTGAAGTATCGCACCAAACCACCGCCAACACATGCTCTTCCTCCGGTGTCTACCATGTTGGAGGTGCTTCCGTTTCTTTCGCCTCGACCACGACCTTTTTCCCTTTTCTTCTTTGATCTCCTTTTTTTTGTCCGATGCTTTCCAACTACCCCCGACTTGCGTCTCAATAACCGTTTCTTGCGTGGGTGGGGGTTGTGTGGTTGTTTGTCGTATAAAATGCGAGGTACAAAATTGTAGTGGGGTGAGATGGGATTGAAAAATTGACGGTATATGGAATTTGTGGTGAGTTTTGCGAGTTGAAGAGGTTTATGTAGCCCTCGTATGCCGCAAAATCTATTGGAGTGGATGTGTTTGTGTTTGGAGGAGGAGTATTCGGGTTTTGATCTATAGTTGGATGATTTTTGTGTTTTTGTTTTGAGTGATTTAGTAAATAGATATAGAGAAATATATGTGTAGTAAAAAGAATGATATACCAAAGGGCTTGTAGCCTAGCGGTATCCGGTGTTGCCCTCCCTACTTGAGGTTGAGGGTTCAAGTCCTGTCGTGGACATAGGTGGATTTAAGGTGTAGTTTAGGATAGGAGTAGGTTAGATTTGCCGTTTCAAAAAAAAAAAAAAAAGAATATATATATATATATATATATATATATATATATATATATATATATATATATATATATATATATATATAATGAAAATGTAATTAGTAAAATTTTTTATTATTAAAGTTACCGTTTTTAAGCGGTTGAAATTTGAAATTGCACTGTTTTTAAACGGTTTAATTTTGCAACGTTCAACTTAATCCGCGTTATGATACGTTACCACAATAGCGATGGATAACATAATATGTAATAACGGGAGGGTGTGGCAGTGTTCGCCCGCTATGGTGTAGTTATAGCGCTGCGACATCGGATAACGCCATACATGCGTTGCCCACACCCGTCTCTTTAACTTTATATAAACTTATTTTCTATTGCATTTCAAATACATTACTACCACTGCAACGAGTAAAACCCTGATTAGTAAACAAAAATCAAAAACAAAACCCAATTTCATCAATACTTCTATTTTTTTTTTTTTTTTTTTTTTTTTTTCTTTTTTTTTTTTACCAAAGTCTAGCCTAGTAGTAGTATCTCTAGACGAAACTCCACTTGTCACCCTCCCCTTCCGTTCTGCCGCTTCATCAAACCAAGACCCTCAAAATTCAATATTCCTTAAGTTTTAAATAATTAGATTCAGTGATCTTCATCTAGTGAAAATCCGTAGTTAACCGAAGAGTTCAATCCAGTCGACGTAAGTATCCTCTCTTCTTCAGCTTTTGCTGCGTACACGCTTACTGTTTGTGAAGATATATACTCTGTAATCATACATTTATAGTCATATAGAGTTTATTTATCATTTTTTTGAGTGTTTGATCTACATTATCTTCAGTTATTGCAGTGCATGTTGATATTTCGTGATGCTTCTTATTGCACTCATATTGTAATGTTCAATGATCCTTCCCTTCCCTTGTGGTGCAAAATGTAGTGTATGATCTACAGATAGTAGCGATTTTACTTCAACTTCTGACGGAATCCTTTTTCTGAACAACCAAAAATGATTTGTTTATTTTCAATTCGGAGAAACTATGGATGATTGCGGTTCGCTGTAACCATACGCACAGTATTCATAATGCTTGCATTATTTGGAAATGTAGAAAGATGAATGCGATTATAACTTCAAATCGCAGAAGTTATGTTCTGAAAGAGAGAACATTAACCTAAAAAAATCGAAATACTAGTAATGTGACTTCGTAATTTCTAGGGCACGATGAGGATTTATATTTTATGCATAATCAACAGACGGAGTCAGATTTTATGCAGATATGAGTTTTTGATCTGTTTGAGTTTTTAGTCCCCTTGATATGAGTTTTTCATCTGTTTGTGTGTTTTGGTTATCACTAACACCTGTGCATCGGTTCAAGTTGTGTTATCTTCTGAAAATACCATTTGCTGATCTGTATAACAATACATACCTTTTCCATGTTAACAGGCTTTCTTGTTGATTAAAAATGACTGAGGATCATATGGAGCAAAGTTCTGATGAAGACAGTGATTCCGAACTAGAGGAATATGAAGAGAAAAGCTATGAAGAGCTCAAGGGTGGAAAATATCACATCAAATTACCAAACGAAGCATTCACTTGCCCATTCTGTTCTAACAAGAAAAAGCATGATTACCAATACAAGGACTTACTACAACATGCTACTATGGTTGGGAAAACTGATTCAAAAAAACGAAGCAAGAAAGACAAAGCAAATCATTTAGCATTATCCAAGTATCTCAATAAAGATCTATCAGAAGCCTCTGGTTCCTCACAAGTTAACAATGAAGTTGATCACCTTGCAGATCATGATGGTGATGAAATGTTTGTATGGCCATGGAAAGGCATTGTTGTTAACCTACCAGTTAAGTTAACAGATGGGCGTTATGTTGGGAGTAGTGGTTCAAGTTTGAGAGATGAGTTAACCATGAAAGGTTTTAATCCTACGCGGGTGATCCCATTGTGGAATTTCCGTGGTCATTCAGGATCTGCAGTGGTTGAGTTTAAAAAAGATTGGACAGGTTTCAATAATGCCATGTCATTTGAAAAAGCTTATGAGGCTGATCACCATGGTAAAAAGGATTGGAATCCAGGTAATGATCATACTCATAGCTCTGGTATTTATTGTTGGGTTGCTCGAGGTGATGATTACAGATCTAACAACATAATTGGAGAGCATCTTCGCAAGATTGCTGACCTTATGACCATTTCTGATATCATGGAAGAAGAAGATCACAAAGAGATTCAACTCAAGTCAACTTTGACAAATGTGATTCAAGTCAAACAGAGGCACATTGAAGAGATGGAGAGTAAATACATGGAAACAGAAGTCACCCTTCGCAACTTAATTGCTGAAAAAGATAAGATTCACCAATATTATAATGAAGGTATCTGTTATGTTCAAAATTCGATTATTGTTCACTAGTACACATAGTAATAAAAATTCCCATAATCTTGTTTTGATTAGAGTTCAAGAAAATCCAGTTGAGTGCACGAGAACATTATCAGAGGATACTTAATGACCATGAAAAACTAAAACTGAGACTTGAAAGTGAAAAGAAAGAACTTCAACTTCAGAGTGAAGAATTGCAGAAGCGTGAGGTTGTAAATGAAAACGAAAGGAAAGTACTTGCTGAAGAGATCGAAGAGGTATGACATTATTATACATATTTTTTATTTCCAGATTGTTTTAATTTAATTTAAATACACCCAAAAAAAAAAAAAACATATGTTTATCTCCTATCTCCCAGAATGCTGCAAGAAATAGTTCGCTCAAGATAGCAACTGCTGAGCAAAGGAAAGCTGATGAAAGTGTGTTGAAACTTGCAGATGATCATAAGGTAGTTTTATTATACTTGTGTAATATATAAAGTAAACTAAATCTGTAATTTGTTTAACTTGTTTTGATTGTGGGTGTTAGAGGGAAAAAGAGAAACTCCATGAGAGAATAATCATGCTTGAGAAAAAACTGGATGCAAAACAAGCAGTGGAGCTAGAAATAGAGCGTTTAAGGGGACAATTAAATGTTATGAAGCACATGGGGGATGATGATTTGGAGGTTTTGAAGAAGATGGATGAAATACACAACAACTTAAAGGAAAAGGAAGAAGAGTTTGTTGATCTGGAAACCTTATATCAAACTCTAGTTGTTCAAGAACGAAAAAGCAATGATGAGCTTCAAGAAGCTCGCAAAGAGTTAATTGAAGTAAGTGTTTTGAGAAACAGCGATGTATGTAATTTCATATATATATTTTTTTTATTTTCTTATATTGTATTATATTTGTTTACGAAGGGATTTAAGGAAGTCCCAAAAGGCACAGATATCGGTGTGAAGAGAATGGGAGAATTGGATAATAAACCATTCTATGGTGCTATGAAAAGAAGATACAATGAGACAG